TGCAGTGGCATTATCTTGGCTCACTGCAACTTTCTCCTCCCAGGTTGAAGTGATCCTGTTGCCTCAGCCTCCCAAGTAGCTGGGTTTATAAGTATGTACCACCACGCCCGGCTAATTTATTTTGTATTGTATTTTTAATAGAAACGAGATTTTACCATATTAGCCAGGCTGGTCTTGAACTCCTGACCTCAAGTGATCCACCACCTCAGCCTCCCAAAGTGCTGGGATTACAAGCATGAGCTATAGCCCCCAGCCTAAAATGTTTTGGAAACAGAGTATCACTGTGTTGCCCAGGCTGGTCTCAAACTACTGGCCTGAAGTGATTCTCCTGTCTCAGCCTTCAGACTTGTTAAGATTACACACATAAGCCACAGCAGTCAGCCTCCTCTTATTTTTAAATACACTCTTTCCCTTGTTATCTTGGAAGATTAACCCAGCACATTTTCCATAGGCTTGTAGATGTTGTAAATGGACTACTTCTGTAGCAAAATCAAATTTGCAATTAATGCGTTAAAATAAGAGGTGGTGATTAGCTAAGGTTGCTTTATGATTTTTTTCTTTTTTCTTTTTTTTTTTTTTTTTTTTTTTTTTTTTTTTTTTTTTTTTTTTTTTTTTTAAGACAGAGTCTCGCTTTGTGGCTCAGGCTGGAGTGCAGTGGCGTGATCTTGGCTCACTGCAACCTCTGCCTCCTGGGTTCAAGCAATTCTCCTGCCTCGACCTCCTGAGTAGCTGCGCTACTATACCCAGCTAATTTTTGTATTTTTAGTAGAGACGGGGTTTCACCATGTTGGCCAGGCTGGTCTCAAACTCCTGACCTCAGATAATCAACCTGCCTTGGCCTCCCAAAGTGTTGGGATTATAGGCATGGAACCACTGTGCCTGGCCTGCTTTATATATATATTTTTAATTATTAGGGTGTTTTTAAAGCTTCATGCAAAGAATGGATCTGCTTTAGGGAAAGCCTTTTGAATAAAACTACTCACCTTTTCCAGGAATTTACGTTAACAATTTATATTCTTCTAAGAGATATTACTAATAATATCTGCAAAGATGCTAGAAAACATGCTCCAAACCTTTTTCTCTTTTCCCTGTGAGAAGATCTTGTATCCTTCAAAGGAAGAGTACCTTTGTCTTTTGAAGTCAGAAATTTATAAAAAGAGTTTGCTGGATGGAAAAATCATAAAGACCATAACTCTAAAACCTAATGTAAAGAAGAACAGTTAGAGCTGTCCAAAGATGGGAAAGAATGTCTTACCAATAAGCCAGTTTCCCGGAACTAGAGTGGGAGGCACTCAAATGTAAGCACTCAAATGGGGTTGGGCAGAGGTTGAAGAAAAGCTGTGAGCATCTTATAAAGAGGTGGACCTGAGTGTTTCATTATGTCTTTTTTTTTTTTTTTTCAGTCCTAAAGTTCTGTGATACAGTAAAATATAAAGGATATTATCGACTTGTATTTTTTGCTTTTATCTGTTTGGGGTTTCCTAATGTAGATGGGCTTCTTAATTTCAAAACTTAACCTTTAGTACATTTTCAGTTCAAAAAAAATTTGATAACTTCTCTTTTGTACTTAACTTCCACTACCACAGTATGTGGCTCCGAGCCAGCCAAAGATCATGATCTGTTGACTACACAGATGTTTGGGGGCTGATCATGCCTGCACATCCATAGTTGGGATAGTTCAAAATTTAAAAGCAAACTGCACAGATGGCTCTAGAACTGCTTTTTGAATTGTGTACCTTTGTAATGTTTTGGGGGGATATCAGAGAACAGCCAGAACTTGTTACAAGACTTTTAAATTGTGCAGATCTTTGTACTCCAGCTAAACCTCCCCATCCATTAGCAAGTATACAGAGATATCGTCCTCACAATTGCGGATCTTTCTCCTTTTACCTTAGCAATTTGCATGGCAGATTGTGCCAAGATGAGGCTTGTCCATGGACCCATACAATAAAAGGTTAGATTCTTTTAAAGTTTCTTGATAATTATTTTTATTTCCAGAAAGATATTTTTGTTTGCCCCATTTGAAAAAGGTTAAATTGAGTCACTCACTTCATTGTCTTGAGTACCTTGTAGGAAACTATTAATAATGATAAATAACTAAACTTCTCTAGATTATCTTCATTTTGTTGTTGTTGTTGTTCTCAATACAGCTAAGAGTACCATATAGGACTTGTGTATTGATGATAAGTGAAAATACAGGGGTCTTACTTGGTTATTTAGGAGTTAAGATTTTATCTAGTCATTTTCCACTGTGATTGAACACTTGCCTTTAACTCCCTTCAGAAACTCCAAGATCATATTGCATCCCAGGTACTAGAATTTCTGTTGATGTATAGAGCTGTTTATAGGCCTCTAGCACCAGAAATTGGCTCCAAACCTTTTCCCATTACATCATCACCCACTAATGTCATTACACCAGAATGAAATCTGCTTTGAAGCTTGAATTCTTGTTTTCCTTCCATTTCTTTCCCCTCATCATTTCCTTTAGAAGGAAAAGGGAAGAAAAAAAATCAGACCTGTAAACATTTAAGGGTGAATTGGACATCCCCATAGCCTAAACCCTAGAGTTGTCAGCTTTCATTCCATTCTGCTGTGGTAGAGTGTTCTGCCCAGTGTGTATCCACATGGAGCCTGGAAAGTAACAAGTCTGGTCATGTGACAACTGGCTTTGGTGCTTTTCTTTCAGCCCCTCAGAATTAGTTCTTAATGACTCACATAGCTCTCTGCTAGCATCCTGTCACTGGCATGTTAAACCTTTTTAAGTAATTCCTCAGAATAGAAAGTCTTAGGAGAGCGCAAGTTTCTCCATTCTTTGTGTTTAATTAAACTGTTCTTGCATTTAAATATTTGCCAGATAAGCGCTTAAGACATTACAATACAGGTTGAGTATCCTTAATCTGAAAATCTGAAATCTAAAACTCTTTGAGCCCTGACACGACACTCAAAGGAAATGCTCATTTTAGATTTTGGATTTTCAGATTTGGGATGCTCAACCATTAAGTATAGTGCAAACTTATTCCAAAAAAATAAAAAAGGCCGGGCATGGTGGCTCACTCCGGTAATTCCAGCACTCTGAGAGGCCGAGGTGGTTGGATTATCTGAGATCAGGAGTTTGAGACCAGCCTGGCCAACATGGTGAAACCCTGTCTCTACTAAAAATACAAAAAAAGCCGAGCGTGGTGGCGAATGCCTATAATTCCAGCTACTTAGGAGGCTGAGGCAGGAGAATCTCTTGAACTTGGAAGGCAGAGGTTGTAGTGAGCTGAGATTGTGCCACTCCACTCCAGCCTGGGCAACAAGAGTGAAACTCCATCTAAAAAAAAAAAAGTCAAAATTCCAAAAACTTCTGGTCCCAGGCATTTCAGAATTTCAGATAAGGGATACTCAACCTGTGTTATCTACAGTTACAGCTGACATAGGGCTCCTTATTCATCTTCCTTCCTTCCTCACAAAGCGGTTGACTAAATGCAGGTTCTGGCCCTCTTTCTCTATTCTAATTTTAATTCTCCTTTGTTTTTTGTTTTTGAGACGGAGTCTCGCTCTGTCGCCTAGGCTGAAGTGCAATGGCCCAATCTCAGCTCACTGCAACCTCCGCCTCCCAAGTAGCTGGGATTACAGGCATCTGCCACCAGCTAATTTTTGTATTTTTAGTAGAGACAGGGTTTCACCACATTGGTCAGGCTGGTCTCGAACTCTTGACCTAAGGTGATCCATCCGCTTCAGCTTCCCAAAATTTTGGGATTACAGGTGTGAGCCATCGCACCTGACCTCTCCTTTGTTTTTTTTAACTGTCTTTAAGGCCTCCAGTTGCCAGTGTGCTGTGTTAGGCTTTGTGTCTAATAACATGGTTCAGGTTAGGAAGGAACTGGGAAGAATTGGCAAGTAGTTTCATTTCAGAGACTTCATGTTTCCTACTCAGTTATTAGGCTCATGTCCTTTGAGGCGGATTTGCCTGAGATTAGAAGGAATCATCATCATCAGGAGCCCTAGAGAAATGGGGCCACAGTGTCTGAAACAAAAGAAGAAACCTGGCACACCTGGCACATGCTCTCTCTCCCTCTCTCTTTTTTTTTTTCTTTTTTTTGAGACGGAGTTTTGCTCTTGTTACCCAGGCTGGAGTGCAATGGCGCCATCTCAGCTCACCGCAACCTCCGCCTCCTGGGTTCAAGCAATTCTCCTGCCTCAGCCTCCCAAGTAGCTGGGACTACAGGCGTGCGCCACCATGCCCAGCTAATTTTTTTGTATTTTTAGTAGAGACGGGCTTTCACCATGTTGACCAATATGGTCTCGATCTCTTGACCTAGTGATCCACCCGCCTCAGCTTCCCAAAGTGCTGGGATTATAGGCGTGAGCCACCGCGCCTGGCCTCTCCCTCTCTTTTTTTAAGAGACAGAGTCTTGCTATGTTGCCCAGGCTGGTCTTGAACTCTTGGGCCCAAGCAATCCTCCTGCCTCAGCTTCCTGAGTAGCTGGAACCACAGGCATGCACCATTGTGCCCAGCTTGGGTCTTATTTTTTAAGACTCTGGGTTTACATTTCTGTACAGTACTAATCACTGAGGACTTTTAATACAAAAATTTGCTGAAGGCTGTGGCATGGAGTATGAGAAGCCACGAGTACTTGAAAAAGCTTTGGAGGGAATGGCATTGAAAATTACGGGCTAGACTAGTGCAACAAAGTACTTTCCTTACCCCACACACACAAGAAGTTAAAACCCTTGATTCACATTAGGATTTCAGCTTACATTTCTAGCATCTTTTGATTTTCTAGTTGGAGCTCTTCAGTAGTCTCTATGGTATAAGCTAGGTAAAAGGAAAAACTTTCTTCCCAGTGTTTTTGTTAAGATGTAAGTCTGTTAAAATCTTCTTAGCACAACTGTATACCTTATCAAACTGAAAAATTGAATAGATTCATACATCCACAAAGATACAAATGCCTAATCTGGACAGAAAATCTGAGTTTATTATTCCTAATGTGTCTTATGTATGTGTTTGTTTTCAGTTGTCGAAATGTCCACAGAAGGAGGATTTGGTGGTACCAGCAGCAGTGATGCCCAGCAAAGCCTACAGTCCTTCTGGCCTCGGGTCATGGAAGAAATTCGGAATTTAACAGTGGTGAGGAAGAATGAGAAACTTTTATTAGAAACTTTTAAAGCATGTAAAGAGCTATGGGAAATTAACCAAAACTCACACTAAAGCATTTTTAATTTCAAGCACATTTACAAAAGCACAGTTCATCCCTGACCAGTGGGTAGGAAAATGAAAATAAAATTTGCCTTGTGTGAGTTAACTACAAGAGTGTCTTTTATATCTCAGTGGTCTTCATAGGCATGTTGGGTGTGTAGTGGATACTTTGACTTGGAGGTAGTTTAATGTGAGACATATCCTGTAGGACTTGTAGAAAAACAGATCTCATCTTCCTTCAGTAGCTGTAGCTCAATTTCTTAGGCCTGATTTAGTGGCTCTGCCACATTTCTAGAACTTGGTAAAATCTATTGGGCAATTTATTCAACAACAAATCTGTTGTGAGCCAGGAACTCTTTCCAGGTGTCAGAAGATACACTTTGATCACTTTCTCAACAGCTGCATTTTTGACATTTTGGGCCAGTTAATTCTTTGTTGTGAGGGGCTGTCTTACGCATAATAATAGCATGTTTAGCAGCACCCCTAGCCTCTACTCACTAGATGCCAGTAGCACCTCTCCCCCAGTTGTGGCAACCAAAAAATGTCTCTAGACATTGGCAGATTTCCCCATGGGCAAATATCATCCCCTGTTGAGAACTGCTGACTCAGAAGAATTAAATATAACCTTGGCCTGTGAGGAGCTTACAATCTAGTAATTACCACCAGAGTCATTTAGTCAATAGGTATTTATTAAGTACTTACTGAATCAGGCACAGTGATAAGTCCTGAAATGGTAAAAGTCAAGGAACACAGAGGACATAGTGCTTGTTTCTTTCTAACTCATTAGGGAAGGCTTTAAGTAAAAGGAACATTGTTGTTGGGTCTTTTTTTTGAGGGGGAGGTGTCTTAAAATATGAGTTAAGCATTCACCAGATGGGAAGAATGAATGGGAGAGTTTATCTTGGGCAAAGACAAGGGCATGCATAAAGACTTGAAGGCCCAGAGTTATTGTTCCTTTAACTATAAAGTTAGAGGAGCAAAGACACTCAGAGTGCATGGAGGTTACTGTGTATTTAGTGGAGGCTGAGGAAAGAAGGATGTGGTATGAGAGTAGTAGTGGAAGGTGAGGCAGGTTAGAATTGGAATATTTTCATAATACAGTTGTCATGCCCTTCATGAAGAACATTCGTTAGGGTGTCATTTTAACACATACTGAAGGAGCTCCCTATGTTGGCTGTATCATTCCTGCCTTGGAAATACTAGCATCCTGGCAGAGCAGACATTGGATTCTTTCCTGATCTAGAACTAATGTTGCAGTTGCTTAGGGTTAGTGACCTTTAACCTCTGATGTTACAATGTCAGTTTATTCATTCACTTAACAAGTACTTATGCACCAACTAAGGCTATTCTAGATACTGTGGATACAGTAATGAACCAGACAGGATCATGCACTCATGGAACATATATTCTGATGAGACAGGCTAATAAGTAACTAATGAAATAACACAGTATAATAAATGCTCACTGACTTCAGGGATAAAAAGTAATTCATGTTTTGGATATACCTCTGGGTCATGTTTATTTATAGGAAGAGTTTTCAGCAGTTGAACTTGGCTTGGCCTTTCTCAGACTGGCCTGGGTTCAGAGTGGATTTCCACTGAAAAGTCATTGTTTCTCTTCTGCAGTCTAGGTAGTAGTTATCCAAACTGTCTCAGATATAAAAGAGAAGGGAGGAAAAAATGAAATTATAAAGTCAAAAGTGGGGTGTTTTGTTCATATTTTAGGGGGATAATCTCGTGATTAAGCTTATCAGCTTTTGGTGCTGGGGTCAGCCTGCTGTAAAACGAATGCCCTCCTGGGGTGTGGTGGGACGGGGCCGATCGAGCAAGTCTGTGCCACAGCTTGAGCCGAGAGACATAAATCTAGGATCAGGCAAGTGGCCAGATAAACTCTGGAGGTTTAAGCTCAGCACTTAACTTTTCTGTTTTGTTGGGCTTTGATTTTTTTTTTTTAGTGGTCGTAAAAAAAAACAAAACAAAACAAAAAAAAACGCATAAAATTTCACCCCTTACCCATTTTTAAATGTACAGTTTGGAAGTGTTCAGTATATTCATATTGTTGTGAAACATAGCTCGAGAATTTTTTCATCTTGCAGTACTGAAACTCTACTCTGACTAAACAACCACCATTCTGCTTTCTATGAATTTGACTGTTTTTAATACCTCATAGAAATGGAATCATATACAAACAGTTCCCTACTTATGATGATTCAACTTAATGTTTGTTTCCACCTTAGAATGGTTAGAAAGTGATGTGCATTCAGTAGCAGCAGTACTTTGAGTACCCATTCAACCATTCTGTTTTTCACTTTCAATATATAAATTATGAGATACTCAACACTTTCCTGTAAAATAGACTGTGTTAGATTATTTTGCCCAACTTTAGGCTACTGTAAGTGTTCTGAGCACATTGAAGTGGGCTAGGCTAAGCTATGATGTTTGATAGGCTAGGTGGAGTAAATGCATTTTCCACTTAGGATCTTTCCAACTTACATTGGCTTTATCAGGATGTAACCCCATTGTAAGTCAAACAATATCTGTATTTGTCTTTTTGTGATTGGCTTATCTTATTTACTTAGCATGTCTGTTGAAGCATGTGACAGGATGTCCTTCCTTTTTTATTTTTTTCTTTTCTTTTTCCCTTTTTGGAGAGAAGGTCTCATTCTGTCATCCAGGCTGGAGGGCAGTGGTACAATGATGTCTCACTACATTCTTGACCTCTCAGGCTCAAGCGATTTTCCTGCCTCAGCCTCTTGAGTAGCTGAGACTACAGGTGCACACCACCACACCTGGCTCATTTTTGTATTTTTCTGTAGAGGTAGGGTCCCACTATGTTGCCCTGGCTAGTCTCCAACTTCTGGGCTCAAGCAGTCCTCCCACCTTGCCTCCCAGAGTGCTGGGATTATAGGTGTGAGCCACCATGTGTGGTCTTTGTTTTTTCTTTTTAAAAGAGATAGGGTTTCATTCTGCTGTTCATTGCTGGAGTGCAGTGGCAGGATTATAGCTCATTGTAGCCTCAAACTCTTGGGTTCAAGAGACTGTTATATGTCCTAGTCACCTAGGACTGCAGGTGTGTACCACCACACCTGGCTAATTTAAAAAAAAAAAAATTATGGAAAGATGGAGGTCTCACTGTATTGCCCAGGCTGGTCTCAAATTCCTGGACTCAAGCAATCTTTCTGCCTTGGCTCTCCAAAGACCTGGGATTACAGACATGAGCCATCATGTCTAGTCTATCCCCCCCCCTTTTTTTTTTTTTTTTTTTTTGAGAGGGAGTCTCGCTCTGTCACCCAGACTGGAGTACAGTAGTGCGATCTCAGCTCACTGCAACCTCCGCCTCCCAGGTTCAAGTGATTCTCCTGCCTCAGCCTCCTCCTAGCCTTTTAAGGCAGAATCACACCCTGTTTTATGTATATACCACATTTTGTTTATCTGTTCATCTGTTGATGGACATTTGGGTTGCTTCCACCTCTTGGCTAAGTGTTACATGAGTGTGTAAATACCTCTTCGAGACCCTGGGCTTTGATTTGTAACCTATTCAGTTTATAAGTTTGATTGCCAACAAAGCTGATCTGTCAACCAAATTTTAGTACATAGCCTTCTAGTTTATCAGAAGCTAAAAGAGAAGTACTTTGAAGGATTCCGTTTTGGTTCAGGTTTTGTGGATGAAGAGAAAGAAAAGTAAAGAGGAGTTGTCTTTAATCATTCTTCTATTGGTGACTGACTAAAATTCTCCTCCTGTGTACTTTTGAAAGGGACTCCTAGACCTCTACCATGCTGTCTTTTATATCAGGTGCTTAGAACAATGTCTGGCATATAGTAGACACACAATAAACATTTGAACAAATTAGTCTCCACTTCAGGTTAATGCAAAGCAACATCATTTCCATGTTTGAGTAAGAATGCAATCTAATAAAGTCAGGGTAATTTTTTTCCCTTCGTATGACTCTTATTTTCCCCTCTACTCAGGAGTATAACACGTGGTGGCTTCTGCTTCTCTGACTGCACTGCTGCCTGTGTAACATGACCAAACATTTTAGCATTTAATCTGTGCCTTTCCAGAACTCAACAGTACTTAAAACCAGACTTCTTCAGATATGTCAGAGCTACTTAGGTTGACACCTGAAAATATCTAACAGATTAAAAAAAAAAAAAATTCCTTATGTTTAAACTACCCAATCATAAGTAAAACTTATGAGAATATTTATAAGGTGTTGTGATCTCAGACTGGGACACAAATTGTTCCAAAAAGAAGTAATTGAAGTTTGCTAGCTGATGTATTTCATGATGTGTTAGAAACACTGGCCTCAAGTCCTTTTGGTTTGAGTCCTGTAAAAGCAATTTATCTTTCATTTTACCTTGTTCTTACGACACTTAAAAGCTCTGCAGTTTATAAATCCAGGTGTGTTCAGCTGGGATTGAAATTAGTTAAAAACCATACCAAGATGATTATGCACCAAAGTGATTGTGTAAAATACTATATTCCTGCTCAGCAGAGCTCTAGGAACAATAAATAACAGACTTTGCCCCACTGGGCCTCTTTGAAAGTAGGGTAGAGAAAGCTAACTTTGTCTTTTTGGAGGTGAGTTGGGGGTGGGTGAGCAACGATGCTGAATTTTGAAAAGAAAAATCTAATTCTGTACTTACTGTCAGCATCCCATTTAGCCTTCAATTAACTGTAATTTAATGCCTAGGTCACTTTCTTTTAATTGGCAGTTTCATCTTTTTATTCCTCAGTGCCTCCTGATTCGGTGATGACATTTCTAGCATTACAATCAAATCAGATAACTGTTTAAACAAACTTGGTGGTGAAGGCTGGGGGACTGTTACAAAACAGGTCCTGTGCTATGTGAGCCCTTCCCATAGGCAGTGCCTCTCAAACTTTATTGTCTGTATTAACCACATAAGAGAGGATCCTCTTAAAATATTGGTGCTGATTTAGTAGGTTAGGAATGGAACCTGGGATTCTGTATTTGAGTTCCCAGGTGGTGCCATTGCTGGTCTAAGGATCTCACTTTGAGTAGCAGGGCTGTAAAGCAGTAGTCCTTAACTCTCACTTAGATCATAGTCACAAGGGGAGTTTTCAAAAAACATAATGCCAGTACTCTACCCACTAGAGCAGGGGTCCCCAATTCCCAGGCCACAGACCGGTATGGGTCCATGGCCTGTTAGGAATCTAGGAACCAGGCTGCACAGCATGAGGTGAGTAGCTAGTGAGCAAGCGTTACCGCCTGAGCACCTCCTCCTGTCAGATCAGCAGCAGCATTAGATTCTCCTAGGAGTGAACCCTATTGTGAACTGCACAGGTGAGGGATCTAGGTAGCACACTCCGTGTAAGATTGTAATGCTTACCCTGCCCATCTTTGGGAAAATTGTCTTCCACACAACCGGTTCCTGAGGTTGTGGACTGCTGTCCTAGAGTTCCTGATTCAGCTGGTCTCCAGGGGACAGCTCCGGTATCTTGTTTTTTAAAAGTTTTTCAGGTGATTGTAGCATGCAGCCAAGATTGAGAATCATTGCTTTCAAAGGGTGGAGAATCTTGACTTTGCCAGAGTAGGCCTGGAAAAGGTTTCTCTTTATTATTTGAAACTCTGGATTTTCCTTAGTGCAGCCCAAGATTCGTTGACTTTTCTTTGGCTCCAAACTCTCATTGAGTGAATTCAGGTTTGAGTTCGTCTTGAAATGCGAGTTTCAGATGGCAGCATTTTTAATGTAGTTCTTTGGTAGTGGTCAGGAGCATGAGAATGTTCTGAGAGGTAATCTGCTCTTCTGCCCTACTGACATAACTCCCAAAAGTAGGGGGAGAAGTATGTGTCATTTGTTCTTACAGTTGGATCAGTATCAGGAGAAGGAGTTAAGGAGTTAAATGTTACTCACCTCAGTTATGGTAGCCAGTGAAGTGGGGAGCATGAATTGAAAGTCAGTTTCATGGGCCTCAATCTACTGATTGTGAAGGCCTTAATCCTTACATGTAACTAGAAAGCTAGGATAGGATTATAGAACACTGGGTGATTGTCAACAGGGATGAACCATACACATACCTCAGTATCCACTTTGACACAGTGCCCCTTGAGATCTCAAAGTTTCAGGAACATGAAAAAGTAGTTTGTCACAAAGAAAAGCTTTGAGCTTATTATAAATTTCTACCTCATTTTACATCTCTGTAAGGCAGGAGTGATCTCTTGATCCTTAACTTTTGTTGCTTTCGATTAAAGAATGGAAATTGAAATTGTAAGTTTATTACTCTTTCAATTTGGGGAAAGAGGTCTTTTTTATCAGCTTTGGGCTTTAGTTAAGTAAATATGGAACATTCTTGTAGAAACGATATTTAAAACCAAGCCGAATGAGAGCACACTTGCAAGAGAGCTAAACACAGTCTTGTGCTGTATGTATTAGCCTGGGAGGCTTTCCAAAGGAATGATCATCCCAAGCATTCTCTTTGGCATTTCTGTGTGGTGTCATCATCTTCTGTGATATGCCACACAAGAAGGAAGACCAATGGTTGATTTCTGGGATTAAACGTAAAAAAAAAAATATTTAGGGTCTGGCCCCAACCCAGTCTCCTCCTTCCTGCTTCTCCCCTCTGTACTCAGGTCATAGATTTAAAACTTAAATAGGCTGTGATTTTTTTGGTATCTCTTTCTGTCTTTGTTGTTCTCTCTGAATAACATTCTTATACTTTTTCAACAGGCAAATTCTCAGCATCCCTTAGACACAGTTCAGATGTCATCCCCTTTGTGGAACATTTCCCAATCCCTCACTCTCCCTCCAGCCCCGCATTGCTAGCTGGTTGTTCCCTTCTTTGTGTCCCTATGGGATTTTATATCCCTCCCCTCCAGTATTAAATAGGGAACTATAATGTTTTCATGTGACTGTCTCTGACAAACCACAAGCTCTTCAAAGGTAGGAGTAGATGTGTGTCTTTTCTTTTCTTTTTTTCTTTTCTTTATTTTTATTTTTATTTTTATTTTGTTTAATAGTGATGGGGTCTCACTTTGTTGACCAGGCTGGTCTCGAACTCCTGGCCTCAAGCGATTCTCCCACTCAGCCTTCCAGAGTGCTGGGATTACAGGTGTGAGCCACCGTGCCCAGCCTACATGTGTAATTTTTGCACAGTAGTAGGTACCATGCATTTACTGTTAGTTGAGTTGCTTGAATCAGTAAATGAAAGAGCAAGGGGGAGAAAAAAGAATAGAATGAATGTGCCCTGTTGTCTCCTTTTCTTGAAATTTTAATAAACTGAACTTCTAAGTCTCTGTTACTCCAGGGTTAGTTTCAGTAGAGGCTTCATGGAAAATGTTGATACCTAATTTGGAAAAGGAAACGATGAAAAATTGGTGTTTGAAGTTTATAGAGCAGAGTGGTAGCCAAGCAGCTTGTTGGGTTTGTGTGGGAAAATTAGATATCTTGGTGTACATTTTATCCCAATACATTCTCTTCTTTCTGCAGTCATAAAATAGATTCTGGGAAGACTGTTGATGTTTTTTCAAAATACCTTTTTCGACATATATTTGAGATTTTCTGTTGGTCTTGCAAAAGAAAGTTCACTGATGCTTGTTAATTACATCAAATCTCAAATAATAGCTACTCCTTCCATAATGTGAGGATGCAAATTCCCAGGTGAGCATATTGGGTTTAGTGAGTCACATTTCAGACCACTTATAGAATCAATCATTTGACACCTAGTCCCAGTAGAGATTTTGCTGATTTTAGCTAATATCTGCCTTTGCACCTTTCTCTTCATTGCTGCTCTGAAACTCAAAATTGATTTTTTTCCTAGAATTGCATTTAAACGCAATGCATGCATTTAAATACCAGTAGTTTCAAAATAAAGCCAAAAAGGGCTTAAATTGCAACTTACTGAGTAGTGCTGGTCAGAAAAGCCCTTTGCTAAATTCCGTCCGGAATTAAGTTATGTGGTCCTCCCCCCACTCCAGGCCTGTTTTCTGTTGTTTTTTTACTTTGTTTCCCAGATCCCTTTTCTTTACATGCCTGTTTGTTAAGAAAAAAAAAAAATAGCACAGCTGTTCCTAAAAGGCAGCTGATAAGTTCACCCTCATCCTTTTTCTATGCTCCTCTGCCCCCACTTGAAACAAATTTTGGAGACAAAGCCATTGCTGCTGTGATGAGAAAGAAGCTCTCTTCCCTAGTTTCTGTTGTCAGGTTAGTCCAAACGTCAGAAATGGCCACTATCAGCTGTAAAGAACTGTGGGTCACTGTGGTCAGGTGCCCTTGGCATTGCTGTTACAGACTAGTCACTGAATGGAAGAAGGAACTGGCAGTTTAGAGGAATACCCCTGAGACAGAAGTTTCATTTTAATCTGCATATTGCAGACTGGTAAACTTACTTGGAAAAAAGAGAAGGCACTCATAATGTCCCTCTACGTTGTGCTGACGCAAACAAAACAAAACAACCGTCTTGCTTGGGGCTACTTTTTATGAGGGCACTGTTAGAGGCCATCCTCACTTTTTTCTAAAGCCCATTAATTGTTGGAAGGTCTGCATGGCTTAAGTAAAGAAGAATTTTCATCTGACGCTTGTATTTTCTTCATTTCATCTGTACTTCCTCTTCCAATATACTTCCTGACAGGAGGGACTAAGCCAGAGTGTTTCTTACTGCTGCTATGCCACACTGTTGATTGTCCCCACCATTTATGCACCTCTTGTCGTTCATTTCAGAAAGATTTCCGAGTGCAGGAACTCCCACTGGCTCGTATTAAGAAGATTATGAAACTGGATGAAGATGTGAAGGTGAATTCACATTCATTTTTATTATTTCTTATTGAAGCTATGTGATGGGTAGGTTATTGCTCATTTCTCTAGAGCTCAAAGTTTAATTAAACAAAAACACAAAAAAATTACTGTCTGTTGCTTTGTTATTTGGTTCCTGTTTAAAATTGTTAAGTGAGCCAAAATTGAACAGTTTTGGTTGCTATGTGGGTCATCCTGAAAATTAAGGATATCCTGGTTTTAAATTGAAAAAAATAATTGTTGTGGGGGATTTTTTTTGTTTTGTTTTGTTTTTGTTCTTTTTTTGAATCAGTTGATC